AAAGCTGAATTCGAAACTTTGAAGGATGAATATCTTTCCGTGATTCCCGAGTTAATAGTTTATCCGCCAAAAGTTTTACGCGGCCGTATGTGGTAACCGAGTGGGAGAGAACGCTGAATTTGAATGGGCAAGGTTGAGCGTGGGCAGGGGGTCATTATTCTTAAATTTTAGCCTTCCTAGGCTCCGAGGTCCCGGAGATATACTTACCCGTGACCTACCCGTGAAAAACTTTCACGGGGCCGTACGTGTTACCCGCGGGTAAGGGAAGGCTGAATTTGAATGGGCAAGGTTAACTTTCACGGGGCCGTACGTGTTGCCTGCGGGTAAGAGAAGGCTGAATTTGAATGGGCAAGGTTGAGGGCGGGGGGGGTCATTGCCCTAAAACTTCAGCCTCCTAGACTCCGAGGTTCCCGAGATATTAACTTACCCGCACCGTACTTGTTACCCGCGGGTAAGGGAAGGCTGAATTTGAATGGGCAAGGTTGAGGGTGGACAGGGGTTGCCCTAAAACTTCAGCCTCCTAGACTCCGAGGTTCCTGAGATATTAACTTACCCGTGACTTACCCATGAAAAACTTTCACGGCGCTGTATGTATTACCCGCGGGTAAGGAAAGGCTGAATTCGAATGGGCAAGGTTGAGGGTGGGCAGGGGGGTCATTACACTAAAACTTCAGCCTCCTAGACTCCGTTGTTCCCGAGATATTAACTTACCCGTAAAAACCTTTCACAGGGCCGTATGCGTTACCTACGGGTACGGGGAAGCTGAATTTAAATTTATGGGGTCACACTTGGGTGGGGAACGTTACCCTAAAATTTCAGCTTTCTAGCTTTTGTGGTTCGCGAGTTGAAAGTTGCGGACAAGTTGCTGCGGACACACACACACAAACACACACGCACAGACAACCCCGTAACAATATGGGTTTTGTGCTGCTGTTACACAGCACAAAACGCATAAAAATTGAGCTTCTTCGAAAGAGAATGCTTGAAGTTTGAGAATGGGAACTTATATAGCATCCTCCTAAAGTTTCGCTTTCCGGGTTATTAATTTATGCGCCAAAACTTCCATATGGCCGTACGTGAAGCTTAGGCGTGCACGGAAGCTGTGTTAAAATGTCCCAGTGTTAAATCACTATCGCGGACGCTGTAAGCGTTAAATCACCCTGAATGTGTCGGCTTCCTAGTTCCTCTGGTTCCAGACTTGAAATCGCTGGATTACATGCACTGAGAATACACTCAGACATATGCACAGACACACGCACGCATACACAGACACACATATGCGCATGCACGGGTACATGTGCTCACACACACACACACACACGCACACACACACACACGCACACACACACATACAAACACACATGCAGGGTCTCGATAGTATGCGTTTTGTGTGGCTGCTGCAGAACAAAAGGAATGTTTCGGTGCTTGAAGTTGTAAAAATATTCCTGTTGTGCACCGCAACTGGCCAGTACGAGATGGTTGCAGTCTAGGATTATTCCCAGTAAGGCGTTTGTCAAATCTGAAGCAGTACATATCTGGATTGTTCAAGTCCCTTATGGCTGCATATGCACGCACCGTGCTAAACAATGCGGGGGAATTGCCAGCAGCTGCTCGTCTCCGAATAGCTACAAGTTAGAATCGAGGCACGCCATCAACAACAACGAAGGTTGCCCACAGTATGTTATGCGGCATACTCCCCAACAATCCATCGATTGAAGCGCAATATGCGAGCGGGCGACATTGCCGGGTGCTTCCGCGGAAACACTTTTACTTTTCAAACTGATTGTATGCGTTTTTTGCATCTATGCAATGCAGAAAACCCATATTGACGAAGCGTTGTGTGTGTGTGTGTGTATATGTCTGTGTGTGCGTCTGTATTGATTTTTTATCTCAAGAGCTATAAAAACTACAGGGCTGAAACTCTGGGGCGTTAATTTGCATGCACGTACAAGCCAAAATCCCCAAAATGGACGTCTTTACCCGCGCGGTACCCACACACGGGCACACCAAAGTTTTTGGCAAGGAAGCTCCTAACTCGGGGACCAGAAAAGCTGGAAAGTTGAAACTTTAGGGAGATGTCCCCATTAATAAACCCAAACCCAGCCCCCGGCACGCGTGATTCCCACGTACGAACCCGTGGGAAGTTCTTTTCGGATAAGTTGCTAACTCGGAAATCTGAGAAGTTGGAAGAGTGGATAACTTCCCCTCAGCACTGATTTCCACGCTGAACAGGCAAAAAACGGTCCCGCACTTTCAACTTGGGAACCACAAAAGCTAGGCGGCTGAAATTTCGGTATAGTGTTCCCCGCCAATTCGGCCTTTCCCTTACCCGCGGGTAACGCGTACGGGAAAATTTTTTACGGGTAAATTAATTTCTGAGGAACCACGGAGTCCAGGAGGCTGAAATTTTAGGGTAATGACCCCCTGCCCACGCTCAACCTTGCCCATTTAAATTCAGCCTTCCCTTACCCGTGGGTAACACGTACGGTCCCGGGAAAGTTTTTCACGGGTAAGTTAATATTTCGGGAACCACGGAGTCTAGGAGGCTGAAATTTCAGGGTAGTGACCCTCTGCCCACGATCAGCCTTGCCCATTCAAGTTCAACGTCCCCGCGCTCTCGGGTATCACCTATGGGCTAGTGAAAGTTTTTGCGGGTAGATGATTATCTCGGGAACCACGGGGTCAACGAAGCTGAAATTTCAGGGTAATGACTCCCCTGTCCAAGCTCAACCTTGCCTGTTCAAATTCAGCGTTCCCTCGCTGCTGAGTATCACCTACGGCTTCGTGAGAATTTTGGCGGTTAAACTGTTAACTTGGGGATCACGAAAAGATATTCACTCTTTAAAGTTTCGAATACAGCTTTCATGCGCTGGTGCGTGAAATTTTTAATTATTTTCTAATGTTTGAACTAT